GGCCACAAATTGTCCTTGTAATAATAATATGTTTACTGGTGTTTGAAACACCATATACTATGGCAGCATCTGGACAATAAGGTATTTTCTCAATCTTCCCCTTCTAAACCCTCCCCCCTCTTTCTCTCTCTCTCTCTCTCTCTCTCTCTCTCTCTCTCTCTCTCTCTCACGTCTGTCTGTCTGCCTCTCTCTCTCTCTCTCTCTCTCTCTATCTCTCTCTCTATCTCTCTTTCTCTATCTCTCTCTCTATCTCTCTTTCTCTATCTCTCTCTCTATCTCTCTCTATATCTCTATCTCTCTCTATCTATCTCTATCTCTCTCTCTCTCTATCTCTCTCTATCTCTCTCTCTATCTCTCTCTCTCTCTATCTCTCTCTCTATCTCTCTCTCTATATATATATATATCTCTATCTCTCTCTCTCTCTCTATCTCTCTCTCTCTATCTCTCTCTCTTTCTATCTCTCTCTCTCTCTCTCTATATATATATATATATCTCTCTATCTCTCTCTCTCTATCTCTCTCTCTCTCTCTCTCTCTCTCAAAACTTTTCGTCACTTATGCAGACACATACTCATTCAGTAAATAACAATGATATTGATTATCATCATCAAAAGTAACTATGACCGAGCCCTTGTATCTTCCCCAGGGATTTATCTTGGCGCTACTCTTCTGTTTTCTCAATGAGGAGGTGAGTGCTAAGTAAAGATGAACAAACAAACAAACAAACAAACAAACAAACAAACAAACAAACAAACAAACAGACAAACAAACACACGACAAATATGTCTTCCTGCAGCCAGCGGTCAACTGTTGTTTTAGCAAAAGTTTTACGGCATTTGCAACATAATAAGGTCATAAATAAGTGCCGAAGATTAGAGGTGTTACAAGAGAGTAACAAATACAAACAAGAAGGAAGAAAGATAAAGAAGATAGATGTTTGACAGAAAGGAATATTAAGCAAACTACACCAGAGCACCCGCCAATCACCCAGAGCGCTCCTCAAAATCAAAGTAGGCGCCTTACCACTAAGAGCCAAACTGGAATTTTTATTCAACTTCCGCATTATGTTCTGCATTGCTGCGCTGTGAGCCCACTAAAATACTCTATATGCCTAATAAAACTGTAATCTACTACATCAAACCTGTATAAAACGGTCACCCATTGTCATGGAGAAAAGTGGCCGAATAACACAGGTGACCGTCTTAGGCAGGTCTGATCAGAATGTAGAAAGTTAATCATTCTCTTCTGAGGTCCAAACTGGGGCTGCTCTCAGGATTAGAACTGCCATAAGGCTAATTCAAAAGGGTCTTTGTTTCCTTTTGGAAAAGGGGGGAGGGTGGTGTAAGAAGGGGAAGGGGGGGGGGTGGTGTAAGAAGGGGGAGGGGGGGGGGTGTTGTAAGAAGGGGGGGGGGGTTGTCGTTGTTTTTGGCTTATACTTGTAGGTTTGTTTTTCGGTTCGAAGTGGCTGCTAGACTGCCAGGCTAGCCGTACTTAGATCTAGGTTTGGCCCAATCGACTCAAGCCTGTTAAGTACACAGGTCTCATTAGATCTAGATCTAGTAATTATTCAGGTTCAAATACATGCAAGTCAGTAAGGCACCTTTTGGTTTTGTCTGAAATACAAATACTTTAGGCATTGCAAACTAAAAATTTCATTTACAATTCAGCCATCAATATTAAGTACCGTTAGCCTGACAGTCTAGCCGTACTTATCTTAGGCCCTATTAACATTAGAAAACAGGAGGTTTAAAATACATGCACTGTCATTAAGGCACCTGGTTTCGTCTCAAATACAAATACTTTAGGTACTGCACACTAAAAATGTATATTTACAATTCAGTAGGCCTATTTTTTTGTAAATGGTCAGTCTAGCCATCATATTAAGAATCAGTACGGCTAGCCTTTTCCTTTTCGGTTAGCTTTCTATTAGTTGCTGATTTTGTGCAAGGGTAAAATAAACGAAATATCATGTAAGACGATGAAGACCGAGTGCCATGGTAAAACAAACACACGGGTCGCCACCACTCGGAGAACGAGCGACGCTTCTGTCACAAGTTCACGTCAACGTCCATTGTTACTTTGTTACAGATTAGGTAAACAAAACAGTGACCAGTCACCTCACACACGATTTGTGCTTGAGTTGTGGGCGGGGCTTATAGGTTATGACGGATCTCACGCTTCCCTCACCGGCAGTTGAAAATGTATTGTTAGGCTTACCCATTGGTCAACTTGGGTAAACAGTCATTGGAGGGACTAACAATAACGACAGGTGAATGAATTATGACGGCCCGTCCACAGCGTCAGGGGCCGATTCAACATTTTGGACAAAGCGTCGGGCGATGGGTGACCACGCCTGGCCGTCTGAGGCAGGTACATTTGACCGTGGGTTGATCAAATAAGGTGGCCGCGACCGTGTTGGACAGGTGACCGTTTTACACAGTTTAGTTATATAGAAAAAACGCAAGTGGGGAATGGAAAGTGGCCGTTTGTACAGGTGGCTTTCATGGCAGGTTCGACTGTGTATCGTCGTTTTTCTTCATAAGTTCACTTTTAAGGCAAACACTGACGTAGTCTGCTTTTGATGATTCCGTGTGTGGGTTTTTTATTGTTGTTTTTTTTTTTTTCTCTTTTGGTTCGCTTGCCCTGATGAGAAACATATTGATGTTGTTATAATTTACACATAAACTCTTTCGAGGTACCGGGTGACAAGACTGCTAAATAGCAGAAGTCGAACTATAATAATAATAATAATAATAATAATGATCATAATAATAATAATAATAATAATAATAATCATAATAATAATAATCATAATAATAATAATCATAATAATAATAATCATAATAATAGTATATTAATGATAATAATAATAATAATAATAATAATAATAATAATAATAATAATAATAATAATAATAATAATAATAATAGCATATTAGTGATAATAATAATAATAATAATAATAATAATAATAATAATAATAATAATAATAAT